AAAAACATGTTAATCTGTTACTACTACTACTTAGTCATAAGTTGTAGTCTGTAACCAATATTTTCAATTCTAGTATTAGTTCTAGTATTAGTTCTAGTACTAAAGAGGTTCAATAATTTTAGTTCTAGTTTTAGTTCTAGTATTATAGGATTAATAAATTTAGTTCTAGTATAGAGTTTTAGTTGGATCAAATTAGTTCTAGTATTAGTTATAGTACTCCAAATTAAAAATTTTAGTTCTAGTATTAGTTCTAGTTCTTCAAACTATAATAATTTTAGTTCTAGTATTTGTTCTAGTACTTCAAACTAAAAATTTTAGTTCTAGTATGTAGTTCTAGTTCTTCAAATTAATAATTTTAGTTCTAGTATTAGTTCTAGTATTTCAGCTACAATAATTTTAGTTCTAGTTCTAGTTCTAGTTTTTAGAACTAGAACTAACAAAAACAATAATTATTTAGTTCTAGTATTGAAGAACTAGAACAACACTAGCCAAAATCCTGTCGAAAACCCTAAATTTCTAACAAGCGTAACAGGGTAAAAAATATTCCTATAATTGATTTCACCACCTTGCAAGTACAACTTGGTCATTATTAAGACTTATAGAGGTTCTCTCTACCTTATAATGCTTCTAGAGAAGTCTTTAAACGGTATCTCTATGCTCTCTTGCTGTTAGAAAGCACTTAACTTTGTCCCGTGTGTAAGCCTCCATTTTGTTTGCCGTGACCACACCCACTCACGTAAAGGAGCGTGGGCAGGTGGTTGCTAAGGCTTGTTATTTCTCCAATACAACGTGTATAGAAGAAATGTAAGTGTGGACATACAAATAAATATAATATATATATATACATAGCGCGATGGTGAATTCAATTATAGGAACGACCTGGGGGCTTCACCCCCAGGTCGTTAATTAGCCTCAATTTCTCTCAAACAGATATTTCCTAAATTAATTTGTGCACAGGCTTCTATTTGAGGGTTCTCCCATACTTTATACAGGCTTCTATTTCCCTGACCCATGTAGTCCCAAATCATTTAAATGTGACAGGCTTTCATTTGAGAGAGGCTTCTACTCAAAAATAAAATGGCTCATGCATATATAATAATATCTACCATAACAATGTATTGTAACACATGCAAATGTAGAATCACTGAAAAATACATCCTGGCCCTGACCTCTTCATCTTCCTCCATGTCATCGTAGCTATTAACAAGCATTGTAGGGAGGCCCATCTGTCTCATGGTCTCAAACTCTTCCTCCAGGTTAGGGTCCAGTAGATCTTGACACGATTCTCGGAACTCTTGATATTTCATTGTAGCTAGCAACAGTGTCCCTTCTATCTCATCTTCTTCGTATTCCTCTTCACTCATTGTTTCTTCTTCAACGTTTTCCTAAAGAACAATGAAATGTTTCATTAAAAAAGAACGAAAGAGTCTACTATTAGTAGCAAAAATTTACATGCATCAAGTTGAACATTATAGATGCTCGTCAAGAAAATTGTGCAAAAAATGAATCTTTAATAAATTTACTGATACCAGACATTAATACAATTGACGGAATCCATCACTTACTTCTTTTTCCTGTTTCTCCTGGTAGTCATATTTGACTGGACCCTCATCACTAAAAATGTATAAAAATGTAAGCATTCAATGCCAAAATATCTCTTTGGGAGAAAATTACTGATGTATAGTAAAATAATGTACCTGAATAGATTCCTTGAGAGATAGCAAACATATTCTAATCTCTGGTCGTCTTCATAACGCTCATAAACCAGATACCCAAGCTTCACTTCAGCCATACTTGTACACGTGACAGGAGATAAAGGGTTAAATTTGACAGTGCGTGGGATGAAAGAGTAAAAAGGGCGTAGCTGGTGCTTGCTAGCGCTAGCCTAGATCATAGATATTAGAAACTAATCTAGTTATACTAGCCTCGTCCCCAGGCTCGAGCTTAGAGTACTTGTGGAGTCCTTGTAGAAAAAGACTTGTGGAGTCCTTGTTACTGTAGATCCAGTAGATCTATCCTGAGTTTTATTGCACAGTAAATTTAGTAGTATCCGGAGTGTACCTACTAAAGTCTTTGGGGAGTCAAAAGTTAAAGATGATTTTAAAGTTGATAAAAGGACTTTTTGTAGCTGTGCAAATTATAATCCTTCTATTTGGTTTGGTGATCGTAGGAATTGGTACTTGGTTGGAGCTGCAATATAAATCACTGAAGGAAGTACTGGACAGCTCAAGATTGAACTATGGACCTTATCTGATCATTTGTGTTGGTATACTGGTCTCATTAATTGCATTGTTTGGGCTTGTAGGAGTTAAAGGAAAAAATATGCTCAACAAGTACTCCTTGGGTCTCTACATCATTTTGGCATTTATAGTGGTCCTGGGTCAAATGGCAGGAGCAATGGCCACTTTTGTTTTTCGTGAGCAAGTAGAATCTATTGCAAGTGAAGCACTGAATGAGACTATGAAATACTATGGAATGGACAGTGAAGTAGGTACTCTAGTCACTGATCTATGGAACAATCTACAACAAGAGAATGGATGCTGTGGTGTGAATGGAGCAAGAGATTGGATTGGAGAAGTACGAAATGAATCAATTGCTCTTCCTTCCACTTGCTGTAGGAATACAACAGACCTGCTTTGTGGTCTGGATACAGAAAGTATTGCCAGTGCATATGGTGGTGGTTGTTTGAGTTTTGTAACTGAATATTTATCTGATAATCTCTTGTACGTGGGTGCCTTTGGTTTAGGTTTTGTTGCTGTGCAGGCTGTATCAATCATAGTCGCTGTTTTGCTCCTGATGGTGTCAGATTACTCAGCTACTAATAAAGTTGGCGTCATATAAGTCAAACATACTTCTTTTGCTACTTAACTGTAAAAAAGTTTATAAGCAAGCAATTAAAAACCATTTAAATTTTTGTTCACATACAATTGATTAATTATTTAGCATCAAGAAATATCTTAATACTTGTAATAGAGTTAAAAAAGTAATACAACTCATCTAGAAGTGGGTTGTTTCTGAGGTCAACTACTTGCAATGACAATAACAATATCAAGTCATCCTCTTTCATCCCAAGAGAGACTATCTGATTGGAGCTGACATCTATCTCTTTTATGCTGCTCGACGAAAGAGAAATTGGTAGACTGGTAAGCAAATTATTTGATGCTCTTAAAACTTCTAAACTAGCCAGCTCAAAATGCTCTGATATTTGATTGTAACTAACATCCAGCTCAATCAGTGACTCGATTGAAGAGAGAGAGTCAGGTACTGATGATAATTTGTTGTGGCTAACATTGAGAGAGGTAAGAAGCTGTAGGTCAGCTATCTCCTCAGGAAGAGATGACAACTGATTAAAAGAAAGGTCCAATCCTACAAAAAAATCTATAGTAAAATTGATAATAAAATTTTGCAATCAAAGATAAAAATTTTTGGTGATTTGTGGGTTTTAATTCATGTCAAAGTGCTATTGAGCATGCACATATATAAATAATTCAAATCAAAAGGTGGGTTAACTTTGGTGATTGGCTATCAAAAAAAAACAAATTTTCCGAAATTTGAATTTCCCCCTCCAAAATTACCGGCTAGATCTATATGCTACTTCGCCAAACCCTCATACAAAATTCAAGTTGTATAATATGTACCAAAATAAATTTAGACTTATTATATACTTGTCAGTGTAGAAAATTTAGAGCTGAATTTCTTTGGCAATATTTTCAAGTCATTGTGAGCTAATGACAATGTCTGAAGTTCTAGACCTTTCATCAAAAAGTACACAGCATCTGGAAATTTCCTTAGGTCACATTCACTCAAATCCAAGTTGTCTCTTTTCTCTTTAGCCTCTTCACATCTTTGTGCTACTCTAGCAGCCTCGGATGCCATTTTTTCAGGCGTGGCAGATAGGCGTGGATTATTGACATTAATTAACTAGTTTTTATAACTAATATAACTAATTTAATTTTACTTTGCTTCTTTATTTAGGAACTGAGATGAGATACGGTATCTCTAATGTTAAAAGAGGCGCACCTGTTTTGGTGACGGCTTTAGAAAATTAGAAAATCAATCTGACCTTCTCAAGATCATCGGGCTCTGTATGGCAATGACTGAGCAGTCTCTAGACTTCAATGGTTGTCAAGAAGAAGAGGAGTCACTGCAGGACACGCCCGAGAACAGTATTCCCTCTTCGTCGGTTGAGTCCTATCGTCCCATTCACTCACTGTTGCTATGTCCGGCCCAATGGAGTGCTCTATTAGAATCTCCCGTCTCGCTCGTCAGAGCATCCTCCGATGAAATCAATGGCAAGAAATCCTGCACCCGTCGCTGTAGGAGAGATGACACCAGTTTGAGGTGACATTTTTGTTGTGTACACTATTAGTTTGGATGTTAATACTTTGAAGTTACATGTACCAGTACATGTTGCTATACATAGTCTGTTATTGGTTGCCTCTAATTAATAATCATACCTTGGAGGATAACTGCTTTTGCTTGTCTAATAAACTTACATGAGCAGTACACATTACAAACTTGTCATGTGTAGTGCTTCTTGTGTAGAATCCAGTACATGTACATTATACATGTGCCTTCCTTTTCCTCCTCCGCTCTCTCTCTCTTTTCTTTGGCTCTCAACTACTTTTCTCACTCCATTGCCATGTAGACATACACACATTCTGAGATCACAAATAAAGAGACTAATAGTTCATCCTTTTGATCCAATTCATCCTTTAATATGTTGCATACACTCATTAGTGACCGCTCTCTCTTTCAATACAAGCAACCTACTAACGAGTCAATATGTGGCCTGCATGTGCCAGCCCTTTGTATAGGCTTCTATCCAGGGCCCTCCTATTTTACTATACTACAGAATGAGTGTTGGCATGTTTTCCCACTCAAATCAATGTTGTTTACCCTATTAGAGTCTATCTACATGTATGTCACTCATAGATACATTATTTCAAGTTTTAAGTATGTTTTGACTCTACTCTAAGTAGTGTCTTCATTTACTTGACATATCTCCTTCTCTCACTTTCTCTCTTAATTCCCTTGGTGAGTACTAATGACCTCGCTCTGTGTCTCCTTCACTTGTTTACTCTTGTTAATATCGCACTATTATTATTATTGTTCTGATGTGGTTGTCTCTCATGTTAATATCAACACACAACCTGAGAAACAGCAATTAGTGTGTACTATGTCTATTTTGTTGTTTTGATAATATTGTGGCTTGAAGTAGTGTTTAGTTCTGTTCCCTCTCTCTCTCTCTCACACACATACTCTTATTAATGTGAAGAGGGCAGTTAATGATTATGATTCAGAGATTGATGACTATAGTGTTTACTTATGGTGGGTCTGAATTACTTTAGGTGGTCAATAATGTATATCATTAGCTTGTGGTAGACCATTGTATAGCAACAAGTTCTAGTTTATTCATGTACTTCTGTGAATCTTACATGCATAAATGCAGATCATCCATGAATAAAATTATTGTTTTATAGCTAATTTTCATACTTCTCTCTATTTCTACAAATTAGTGAGGATTCTTCAAGACCCTCTTCAGATATAGTCTTTGATACGGATCAAGAAGGGATCATTATCAGTACAGAGGTACATGGTTCAACTTGGCACAATAGTTGTCATAGTGATTGTATAAATGTTGGGAAGCCACTTAATGTACACAATTGCATGTGCTGAGCATGTGCGGGCAATACTATGATTACTATTATAGTATAGTACTTACTCCCAGTATGAATAACACATAAGCACTCCTATATACAACTACTAGCAACTGTAGTATTTACATAGCCTTTTGAGATGAAAGCATTTCATGTGGAACCGTGAGAATTAATTTTTTACCTCAGAAATGTCATTTGCTGCTTTTAAAATAGCTTTATTTTTCACACTTTTAGGCATGTCATTTTCACCCCTTTAACACTTAGCACTTGCCTTTCTCTTTTAGGAACATGTAAATGATGAGTCTCTCCAGAGCTGTACCAAAGACACTTTAGTAATGAAGGATGGAGAAGGGATATCAAATAACGGCGTACATGTAACTAAAGAGCCTGTACCATCAAGCAGTGAAACGCCAGTCTCTCTTGACATAAAGCATAACAAAGAAGAGGATAGTGCTATTATGTCCAGTGCTAGTGATGATGGTAGTATTAGCAGGAAGAGTGACTCTTTGACAAGGCAGGACCAAAGCATTGAGTCAGGCTCTATCTCTTCTTCGTATTCGTATGAGCCTCAGACACCAGCTCACTTGCTCCCATTATCCACTCCATCAAACAGTTCATATCAAGGTCATTCAAGTGAGGGCACTTGTACTATTGGTAGTGGATCAGAGGCTGGCTCGGTGAGAGGTGATGAAGCTCCCAGTCCTAATGCACACGAGCGTACATCTGTTCCCTCCACACCGATTGAGACACGACTCCCTAGTCACTTCACTCACTCGAGGAATGTCTCAGAAACGCCGTCTCTGCCTCCGTTTGTCTCTTCCTCTACATCATCCGCTTATCACTCGAGGAACAGCTCAATGGCTTCCCAGATCACTTCTGATTGTTTTGAAACCGATAGTCAGTACACTGACATTGACTCTGTTGTCGTGACGTATTCTAGTGACATCCACACTCGATCAATGACACTACAGGAGGCACGATTTAAGTTCCCCGAAGTATCAGCAATGGAGAAGTCCATTCAAATGCAGCATTACTCTATCGGGGATCGCAACGCCACCTCGCCTATATGCGTATCGGAACATTTATTCATGACCTCGCCCACTTTGGACGAGACTCTTAAGACTGGTCAAGAGTCTCCGGCGAGGAAAGGCGAACTCCCTGTTCTCCCTGAGTGTGAAGAGGGTCAGCTGTCGACTAAAGTGGCTGGCTTGAAGAGCTCAGAGTGGATTAAAAAGGAAATGAGAGCGTCAAGACAAAGCATGATACAGGTAAACTTGGCAGTTGGCACCTTGTACAATTGTACATATATGCATACATGTACATCCATTGTTGTGTATAGTATGATTAAATTTAAATGTGACGGCCGACCAATTACTACTTGGCCTTGTTGATTATGGTGTCCAAATTCAGCCAATTAATAGATTCTGAATTCTTTCTTTTACGGAATACATGTAGCTGATATGATTATTGCTGTTTATTGTAGAAATGAAGCAACGAAAATAATAGCGGCCTATTTATGTAGGACATGCATAAATGTACACATATCTGGAATCACATGCTTGTATGTCTTTGATATTTATTGTCCGACATGATGTTTTAAATATTACTATGCTGTTTTATTGTTTGATTATGTTTTCATGTTGTTTGGATTCTGTTTAATATGTACCAGCCTTTTGTCCTCCACTTCAAATCTCATGACGTTAAATTAATGTTACGTGCAATTGTGACTTCATCCTGTGATTTTACTCTTTTATTATCACAGGTTAAAGTCTCCTCCAAGTCACGGCATATTGTACATTTCAATGTAAAAGCAGGAGATATGTTTCTGTGGGAATTTGCTACTAAGAGGAAAGACATTGCTTTTGGTAAGCTTTATTAACATACAGAAGGAGAGAGAGAGAGAGGGAGGGGGGGGAGAGAGGGGGGGAGAAGGGGTGGGAAAGAAAGGAAGGCATTCATGCCATACATGCTCTATCTTATTATAATAATATATCATGTTTCATTGCATTGATAGGACTGTCCTTTGAAGCTACTGAGGTTGCCACTGAGCAACAAGAAGAGAAGAAAGAAGAGGTGAGCCCTTCATGATTTAATGATTCCTAGAAAGTAGAAACCCACCATTTGTAATGTATTTGTGTGTCCATTAATTACGTCCATTAATTACTATGTGTCCAATAATTTGTTCTATTGATGTGTCTATTTTACTCTTGCGTACAGTTGTGCATATCCCCATCGATATCCTATTCTCTGTTTGTGTGTCCACTAATTACTGTTTATATTTGTGTGTGTAGTTGCCAGATATGAAGATGGTTCAAATACTTCCTATACTTCGTGTTAATACGCACGTTCATCCAATAATGGGATCTCATGCTGCTCCTCAAGACGGAGTCTATGAGCTTCTATTTGATAACTCTTATTCCAGGTAATAGTTTAATCATCTGTCATAATCACTTCTCTTTCCTTCTCTCTCTCTCTCTCTCTCTCTCTCTCTCTCTCTCTCTCTCTCTCTCTCTCTCTCTCTCTCTCAGGTTTTTTGCAAAAGAGTTGTTTTATAGAATCACAACAAAGCCCTCGATTCCAAATGAACATTACGAAGATCAAATAATAACTGATAATAATGATAATAATACTACTACTACTAATAATGATTAATTGTGCTGGTTACACTTATTGTCTTCTTGCAATGTCTCTGATTGGTTGTGATCATATTTGTCTGATGTTTTAAAATTTAAATCAATTAATAATTATAGCACAAAGTCGATTCTTAATTGTAACAAAGTTATAGAGAGGTGTGTTTAGGTCTCTAATTAAAATCATTATTAATCATGAATATAAAACTAGTTCTAAATTTAGAGAGAATGATGTCATCAAAGCGGGGTATAATGTACATGCCCACCTGTTCTATTTTTATCCAAGGGACTCTCCTTTGTTTAGTTTCTTTAGTATAAAAAGGCCGAATGAAGTGCTTGAGACTCACTTCAGTCTATAGAGAAGGATGGGAGTGAAAGGACTATTGAAGTATATCAGAAACTGCCACACCGGTGTGAGGCCAGAGCCACTCGTTCTCTCTACTGAAACGAAACGCAAAAGCAGAGATCCTACAGCAGAAAAAGCTATTCTTGTGTGTGACTTCATAGCAATAGTGTTCTGGCTATTGGACATAGTACACGATGCAAAGAAGTCCTCGGAGAGATACATTGCTCTGTATGGTGCTGATTTCAAGGAATACACCTCAAGGCTCATCAGATTTGTGGAAATGCTGCGTCACATTGACATAGAACCTGTGTTCTTTTGGGATGGTCCAAGAGGATCGGGTAAAGAATATGAGATGAAGTTATCTACTTGGGAGAAGAGAGCAAAGGATTCGTTGGAGGTCATACTTTCTCATTCACTCATAACAAAATACGATGCAAAGACTGAAGTTAAATTTGGGAAAAAGATCAAGAGGCCACTCCTTGTTACCGAGCTCGTGATGGTACTCCAAGAAGCAAAAGTTGAATTACTTACATGCAGAGGAGAGGCTGATAATATGATGGCGGAATACATGCGTGTATATGGTAACGTCTGTGGCATACTGACCAATGATACAGACATGATGTTGATGCATGGAGTAACGGCTATTCACTACAAGTTATTTGATCAAAGAGGTGCTCTGAGCTTTCCGACGATGA